AATAAAAAAAAAAAAAAAAAAAAAAAAAAAAAAGAGGAAAAAACACTCTGTTTATATTTACCTACCTAATGAAGCGTCTGCTGTACCCCGCAAATAGGTGATGCAGCCAGAGAAAAAGTCGCAGATTCTTTTAGATTTTGCATCCGCCGCCCCTATCTAATAGATTACAAATGAAAGACAGACGGCAGAGTTGGGGAACAAATGAGAGTGACACTCTAACAATTATAATTTTTAAATCAACTTATTCATTGCTAATTATTTATCAAAATTGTGGGGTCATTTTTATCTATTGGTTTCTTATAAAAGATTATAAGCTTCATTATTATTCACTATTTTGTCATCTAAATTAATCTTAAACACCGTTAAATCTAGATAGCATTATATATTTATTTGTATAGAATTGCAGAAAATAAGCGAGATCAATTCGAAAGATTTAGTCGTACCAACTCGATAAAGCTTGACATGTGTGCAGTGTTGAGCTTTTAGATGACTCGTAAAATTGTTAAATGATAAAAACATTTGTCACACTGATTGACACCTTTGATTAACTATATATTTGCAAAATTAATCATCGCATTGTTGCATAAATCTATATGTTCGCGTAATGTCATAAGAATGAAAAATGGACATAAAAGTGTGAAACGTTTCTTTCTTTCAAATATTTAACCACCAAGCCTCTACTATCAAACTAGACCATCCACCAATGAAGGTGAGCTAGTCCGCAACACATTTTTTACTATAAAATTCAATCGTAACTTGACAATTGATCGATGTGAAATTTGTTCCTCAACATTACACACCTTGAAATCCAAGATTTACCGCGAGCGTCGGGAGCACAAGAATCCTTTACAGGGTGGGGAAGTAATGAGGTCATTAGTTACTTTCCTCAGTAAGGGAAAATGAATTACCGTTAAATTATTGGTTGTCCTTTTATCTTGGTGACCAATTAAGGGAGCAGCTGCGGTTTGTACAGGGACCCAACAAAAGCGGCTGCCGCGCTTTCTTTTGTGACGCCCGCGTCAAATTGGGGTCCATCTGCTGTCTCCTTACATACTTTTCGGCAATCAAATTATAAATTGAGGGCGGCCGTGTGAATGCATATGGATTAATTAGGACTCCATCAGTCAACACGTCTTATCCCTTGGCTCTC